GCACACAAAATGCTAGGGACGTTGCAGGGAGGATGTATAGGCATATGTGTAATCAGAGAAGTTTAAGAGGCAAGTTATGGAGTTATAAACAATGACACCTGGCTACTAAATATACATGTACAGCAAGCACCTGAAGAAAACAGCAAGCCACATTTCCCACTTTGATAATTGTTCTTTCTGCTGGTAAAATCTTTTGCCTCCAGCGATAAGTAAGTCCTACTAAGTTGTTAGTAGTGAAGTGCCCATTACCTGGTCTTTTAGTTTGTTCATTATAATGGCTACGCCACCTCCCAGCCATGGCAACTGCATCGACAAAAATCTCTTCAGCATAATGCTGCTAGTTGCTGTCATTATCAGAGAATGTCCACTGTCAAGCGGCATGACTCATCTGCTAATAGACATTTAGTTACCCGAATATAATTTTATTGCAATAAAATACGTACAATGCCCTAAATTTATACAGGTCTCAACTGGACAGGGACAGACCCATCCCCTCTTGTCCCCTTCCACTGAGAGAGTTTCTGGGTTTAGGACATCTACACACAGGAACCCTACATCCCACAGTGCCACTATTCGTAACCCACCTGCTGGGTATAGGCCCCAAAGCAACACCCTGAAGGAGGCCACTCCTGCGTGGTCAAAGTATACAGTAGTTAGCCCCTGGCTGCTGCAATGCACAAGGCAGCTTAGCTCCTTTACTGCGTCTCAGAGCCACTAGCAGATTGAGCCACTCGGGAGTGGCCAGTTGCTCTACAATCTGCTGATGCTCCAGAACTGACACAGGAAAGCGAATGGCGGCCATTCGATCTTCACAGACCTGAAAGCAAATTCTCATTTGGGTCCGTCTGGTGCCTCGGGGGTTCACTGGTCCATTTACAGGAGTGGGGCAAAAGTTTTCTAAAATGGATGAATGCTGTATTTGAGGTACCCAGAAGACGACAGGACTGAGCTGGGCTAGGCCTGTTGAGCCATAAGCAAGTGCTGAGCAAGTTTCCCCATCCAGCTTTGCCAATGGGCCAGCACACGACCAGATATTCTAGTCTGGATACACGCGCAGCCCTGCCCGTGCACCGCAGCTTGCCCTGCTGCTCCACTCCCCTGTGCTGCCGCCGATGCCCCTCCATCCCAACCAGCCGTCCCGCAGCAGCGCTGCCAACACCCCTGTTGTTGCAGCCCTGGGCCAGTTTGGCTCTGAGATGCACAGGTGCCCACACAGGGCCACTGTTTGTTTTGTTACTTTTTGAAAAGAAAATATTATGCAATGTTAAGAAACCTGCTTTTACTGATTCCCATAACGACAGAGAGAGAGAGAGACTGTGAGCAGAACAGAAATATAATTATGTGCTGCCCACACCTGACATAAAAGGAATTAAATCAGGAGAAAGTGGCAGACAATTTCACAGGATCTCTTTATTTGTTAGCAAAGCTTTTGCAGACTGACTCGCTCACTTCAGAGATCCCCGGCAAAATGACAGCCAAATGAAGGATATGTGAAATCAGATCAGACTTTAATCATACAGAAGCCATAATGACACTTGCTTTGAAAATGACATTAATGGGAATGATATGCATAATACCTCATTAGCAGCTGAGTCATCCGGAGTAAAATGACGCAGTTCCGCAGCTGATGGGGTAAATAGGCACAGGTTGATCAAACAGCATTTGGAGAAGGGAGTAGTTAATTAATTTATGTGATTTAGAATTAAGCTAAACTCCACATTTCCATGGGGGGGAGGAGTGTGAGGGAGAGTGGCAGGCATGTCCCGTGTTAAGCTTCTTAGCAAAACATCATCAGCAGAACTCCCAGTTCCAAACAGGCTGCCCACCACAGGTGTCAGTATTCACAGAATCAGTGCCTTCAGCAGCAAGAAACTTCAGCACCTGCAACTCAGTGCTAATGTGGACTAGTTAATAGATAGTGCAATATACTGATGTTCAGGAGACCTGCATTCTATCCCCAGCTCAGCCACTTCCCCTGTTTGCCCTCCCACCTTCACCTGCCATGTCTATTCAGACTGTAAGCTCTTCAGGGCAGTGGGCTGTCTCCCATGGTGCATCTATGCAGCATCCGGCACAATGGTCTTCAGTGCTACTAGAATACGGGTAATAAAACCAACTCCTCCCACAGTCGCCTTCCCTTCAGCATCCAAGCACACTCATATGGTCTCTGGATTGTATACTGTACGGTCCCCAACCATCAGCACAAGTAATTGCAAAGAGCCACACCACTACACGAGGGTCAGATCTCTTCCTATTAACATATTTGTATGCCAGTTCCAAGGGCTAAGGAGAGACCAGGTATCAAGCTACCAAAAACACAGCATAAGTGTGTAACAGGGAACAACAGCAATAAGCACCACTCAGCCTCCAGCAGGCCAAAAGCCACAGAAAATGGATGGCACCAGGAGTGGGATTCTGTGTGATGTAGTATGATGTCTTCCAAGAATTTAAAATTGGACAGGAATAAAGTGGGGGAGAGACAGGCAACAATTCAGTCTCCCTGACTCACCTGGTTTTAAAAAAGACAAAAACACCACCACAAATACCCGAGCAACGTGATGATTAGCCTGAGATACAGCTCTAATTGCTAAGTTTTCTGCAGTTTGGGGTGGATAAAAATCAGCCCAGAAATGCCCCTCCAAACACAACGTATGTATTCCTTGCCAAACAGCTGGAATCAGAAGTGCTTTTTATTGTTTGTTTTACAGGATATTAGTGGGAGGCACAAATCAAGCCCCTTTTAATAAACGTACTCGCTGGTGCTCAAAGTGGTTAAGCTTTCATTAAAGGACTCTGGAGGGGTTCCTGCTGTGCTATCCACTGAAGTATCTCAACCACCAGGACCCTCAGAGATCTCAGCTGCCACAGAGCCACTCACAGTGGCCATGAAGAGATGGGCCTGCGTGGGCTAGTTAGAACTGCACATCAGCAAATGCGAGGCTGGCCTCTCTCATCTGCTAGATCAGGGGGTCACGAGGTTATTGCATGGGGAGGTCGCAAGCTGTCAGCCTCCACCCCAAACCCTGCTTCACTCCAGCATTTATAATAGTGTTAAATATAAAAGAAGAGAGTTTTTAATTCATAAGGGGGGGTGGCACTCAGAGGCTAGCTGTGTGCAAGGGGTCACCAGTACGAAAGTTAGAGAACCCCTGTGCTAGATGGTCCCACGAACAGAACCGCTATTGCAGAGAGAGGATGCAGGACTGGGACTCAAGGGCTGGGCTTTACTCCCAGCTCTGCTCCGGAACTGCTGCATGACCCTGAGCAAGTCTCTTTCCCTCGCACCCTTTGTCTAGTTAACACTATGAGCTCTTGGGGGCAGAAACTGCATCTGTGCAGCCCCAGGCACAACAGGGCCCTGATCTCAGCGCTTGTCTACACAGCGAGGTAGTGCACGGCAAGTCTGGGTGTCGAACCTACCGCACACTAACTCACCACATGGACACTGCCACAGCACAATACAGAACTTTGTGTGTGCTGTAGCAGTGTCCCCATGGAAAAAGACCGCTCAGCACGCTAGTGCACTGTAGATTCAACACCCTGGCTTGCTGCTCACTAACCTCCAGTGTAGACATGCCAACAGTTAGTACAAATAAACACCACAGACAATGGGAGAGATCCAGAGCAGATGGCAATGGCAGGATGGGCTCAGATGAGAAAGGGGACTGTGGTGTAAAGCAAGGGGTTTTTGCTTCTGGGAGAGGCCCTTCCTTTGTGGGAGGAAAGACAAAAATCTACCTGAGCTGTAGGAACAACAGTTCCCTCTGACTTGGTGATATTCACACGCTGGACTAAACGTTTAGCAGAAGGCCTAGGAACCATTTTAGTCCCACTGTCTGGGGAGAATTTCACCCATAATTATCACAACCCAAATCACTATACACAGCAATGTCCTAGATAAAGGTACCAAGATCCTCTCACACCTGCCCAATTCCTCTCGGGAAGGAAGGATTACATCCCCATAATTAATATTTTAAATTAAAAGTATAGGAATCCACTTTGTTAAACCATAACAAGATTACACCCAATGAAGTGCTCAAGTGATGTGGCAGGGATTAGGATGAAGACAAAAAATAATAAATTAAAAGTATCAGAATTTATCTGATTAAAGGCTTAAACCCTTAAATTCAGATCAAGTTAATGCAATTTTTTTAAAAACTAAAAGTGTCAAGCAACAGGCTTAGAATATGGTTATTATATGGAGATCTACCTATCTCATAGAACTGGAAGGGACATTGAAAGGTCATCGAGTCCAGTCCCCTGCCTTCACAGCAGGACCAAATACCTTCATTTCAATGAAAACAAACGATGTGTTTGATTCCTAATTCAACCCATTGTGAATCAGGAGTAACTCCATTACAGTCACTAGGACCAATTTCTCAGTGTTGTAAATCAGGAATGGAGAATCCCGCCCGTTATTACATATTTGTGTGTGCATCACATGAAAACAGCCTGCCAACAAATCAGTAGAAGCCCAGTCCTCACCCTTAGACAGTTTTGCTAAAAGCTAATGCACTTGAACAGCAGACCACCTGAAAAAGTTGAACTTCTGAAAGGACAGAAGACTAGTAACATTTTCAGTAAGTCTGCAGAAATCCTTGGAGTCTTTTCTTCAGTCAGTTATGTCTTTTATAACTATTCCTCTCATTTCAGCAGAGAACAGAATTCCAGTTTCCCTGGCTCTGGATAGAGCTGGTCTCCCCACCAAAAAAGTTATCACATTCAGGTGAAAATAAGTGAAGTTCTTTTGCTATTCTCAGATGAGCTCTAGTTCTTGAGGCTGATATTTCTATGAAACATGCCATGCAATCCAAAGTGCCCCAAACACTGCCTTTGGCACCCTATCATCTCAAAATCCTGATGCTCCTTTGTGGTTAAAGATGCTAGTTTTCTACACAGGAGTGCATAATGTAACCCCGGCTGTGTAAAAGTGGCCCTCTTTTGCCTGTTCATTAAAGGCAGGCTCATGAAACCAAGCCAAAACAAGAAGGTACATCTTACCTTTCCATCAGCTGCACCATCAGGACATGGCTACTACCTCAGTCTCCCCGACAAATGGTCTTCACATTCCCTGTAGCCAAAGCAATAAAGAACAGAGCTAGTTGGAAAACAGTCCGTAAAAAGTTTTTAATAAATATTGGAGTTTGGTAGGGAAAAAAAACCAAAACAGAAAACTTCAGTGAAAAACAAACCAACCTCCTCTTCCCATATCTCCCCGTCCCCCAGGAGCTTTGGGGTTTTCAGTTGACGTTTCGGATTTATAAAACACCACACATTTCTCATGGAAAAAACAAGAAAGTTTCAGCCATTCAGTTTCCATTTCTATTAAAAAGGCCATTTTCCACAGAAAAATAAAGTTTAGTCTGAAAATCTTCAAGCAGCTGTTAAGAGTCCAAACTAACCAGCCTTTCCTGCCACACCTGCTGCCCTTGTCTTCCATTTTGAAACAGGGACCCCTAAACCAAGGCAGGTACCTTAACAGCCTGCACCAGACCAGTACTGCAATGCCCC